CAGTTGGATAAAGGTTTCAACCTCAGTCCTCGTTATTCTTTCCAAAATGATCAATTCAACAGAAATGCAAAAGCCAGGTTTTTTTTATTGGACTTGAGTCTCTAGTTCCAAATATAATTGTACCGCACATGTCAGTGCACGTGAGCATGGTTGTGAATAGGGGGGGAGATGCATCAGTCTACAGACACACTCACAGACATACAGACATATTATTACAGAAGTTTTGTTCGATGCATTTTCTCTTCACAGCGTATATGACTTGGCATTTTAACTCAAACACTCAAATCTACACAAACATATTCTTTCTTCATTCTCTTCCACTGTACAATACCCTTTTCTCTTCTTTTTCTTGTTTCTTCGTCTCTATATATCACCTTCCCTCTTGAGTCCCTCCTCTTCTCAAAAGCCCTTGTAAATACTGCTGGTTCTTTTTCTCTCCCTGCTCTGTTTCGTATTATGTTTTATGTATTAATACGTCAACAGTGCTCCACTCAAGTTCGACTCTTTGAGAGATGCTAACCAATTTGACTGTCTGTTGACAATTATGACAAGACTGTAAAGCAAAAAGGTGAGAAGAGGGCCAAGAAAAGAGAAAAAAATAGCTGAGACACTTGATGGCTGAACAAAGAAAAGAGAGAATCAGTTTGGTCCTTACATCAGTGTGTATCTCTGAGAGGAGGGATTGACAGAAAGAAGGAGTGACACAAATTGAGGAGGTCATGTGTGAACCAGTGCAGCAGGATGGAGAGCAATGTGGGTTTAGAGAGAGAAGGAAAGTGCCAGAAGGTACAGAAAATGAATTTTGATTATTCAAACACTGCTGAGCAGAAATAATAAACAGAGCCCTGGCATCTGTAATCGAATCACCAATTTTGGCGCACTACCACAACATTTTAACTACGGCCTTCTGAGCTGATGTTCCCAAAAGACCAAAAAGCAACAGTTTGGAAAACCTAATTTCAAAGAGTCTGATGTTGTAAAATTGCAACACCTGCCTTATCAGAAAACTGTTGGGATTTCAACCAGCATGCCTCTCTAAGCTCTTGAAAATGTATGGACATGTGAACTGAAAATTGCCTTTCAGTTCTGAAAAATGGCCACAGCAGGAGAAGACGTAACCTACAGAACTCCAGCCAGTACCTAAATATTATTACTGCAGGCAGTTAAGATCCCTCACTCAACAGTCTTCAAATGAAAAAATCCCACAGTCAATTAGTAATCCTCTGGGAAGGGAGGGAAGGGAATGAACTTTGTGTTGTCATTTTAGGTTGGTGCTCATGTAGTAGTCAGTGCTGCTAGCTCAGGCCGCTTGACCGCTGTGATTATTTTTAACTTATTCCAAGCAAAAGAGCACAGCGGTCTTAGTGGATATCTGACTTTTGCATACCAGACTTGAAAGGTCCTACCTTGAGGGCATCAAAGCAGTTGAGAGAAGAGAAGAGAAACTGTCTATGGGAGATATACAGTACATACACTCCAAATTGGTGACATAAATTAGAAAAATGTACCAGAGAAAGTCCATATAAAAGGCTAGTAGGAAACCTCCATGATCCATGATTTCCATGATCATGAGTCCAATACATGAGTTGTCAGATTCTGGTTCACCAACCAACAAGGTATAATTTTCCTGAGAATGTGTTGGACCAGTTATTGTTGGCTAATCCTCCCATTAGACAAAACAGCCATTACAAACTCATATGTAAACATACATAAATCACCAACAGAAGTGGCTTTCATCTTTACGTTCAGTGTGCAACATTGTGCCAGGTAAATCAAACTGTAAAGTGTGTTGCACATTTTGGTGACTAAAACATATAGTGTGTGTTGATGCTACCTCCAAGGTTAATCAAATTATACAGCATATAAACAGCTTAGATAAAGATACAAATGTTGGCTAATAAGACTTGACCTACTTTAGTTTGCGTTCCTGTCTTCCAGGCATGGCCTCCCACGCCGAGTACAGTACGTCATACAGTAGATCAAACATGACTGTCATGTGGAAAAAAAAAACAGCTCCCGTGAGAATGCATTGCCAGAATCCGATAGAATCAAAGCGCTGCTTGGTATAGAGGATATTGTAATTTGGTGTGGACACAGAGACACAGACAAATAATTTAAAAGAAATGGCAGAACCAGACTTTCAGTAGACGGAGGGGGAAATAAAAAAGAAGCGGAGCTGGAAGGGAATAATGACAAGAAGGGAAGAAGATGCATCATACATATCTGAAAGAGACAAGCTAAAAAGCGTGAGAACAATGAGTGAGACGAACAAATGGCAGTGGCTATAAGAGAAAGACACACAGGGGATGGGAGGGGAGGGTATCATTGCCAACATCTATCACTATCCTCATAATTCTGTCTTTCCCTTGACACTGCTGAAACACTGAACACTCTCACAGCTGTGTTAAGGTTTATGTCCTATAGCCTACATTCAGTTTGATTATGTGCTTCTAGTGTGTGTGTGTGCGCGTGCTGTTCATCAATCACGATGTGTAGACAAAAATCTCTTCACACTGTCTCAAAAAGTCACCAGAAGTTAAATCTTTCATTTACGGTTAAGACCACATCTTTTCGGGTTCTTGTCTGAATTATTACATCACAGTTTGAGTAAGCCTCCAGGGAATGAATGAAAGCCAATACAACGTCCCCACAAGTACAGCAGTACACAGTTTGTGCGCATGCGTGTGTTTCTGTTATCAGCATCAGCCCAGCTTGCTGTAGTTAGGACAGCAATGATTAGAGAGCACAGGAGGGGAGATAAGGGCTTGATAATGAGCTGTGTGTGTGCAGGTGTGTCTGTTTATCTGTACTAGGCAATGCACTATACATGTGAATGGAGACTTGTGTGCATCTTTATGCCCTTAAATGCGTTTTGACCCATCCAGTTGTTGCATGCGTTGGTATCATTGTATTGTATGGTAGGCAAGTGTATCAGCTTACGGGTGTATGTGTGTGTGTGTGTGGTGGGGGGGCATACTCTCAATTGTGCTCCTTCACCTCTGTCAAACAGCCATTGTTGCGAGGGAAGGATGGATAACAATTGTAGCTGAAGTCTGCTGGGATGTTAGCTGGAAGCAGCAGCCTGAGGGAGAGAGAGGGAGGAGGGGGGAGATGGAGGAAAGAGGAGATACGGATGCAGAAGGAGAGCTGTAGGTTGACATCAATGTAGTGGGTTTAAGAGGGACATTTTAATTTTAGTAGTAAACAAGTAGGAGGATACATACTAACTATAGGCGCGTGAATGAGAACATTCTATTTATTTAATTCATTAATGTCGGTGTCAGTTTAAAAAAAACATATAGATATACAACATCAAGAATATTGTTTATCGACAGAGTTAAATGTGGTGCATGTTTGTCTGCTGTGAAAAGGGCCTTCAGTTAGTTAACATCTACACAAACACCCACTCCCCCCCCCCCCCATAGCTCCCCTGTCAGTCCCATTCATCACGTAGTGATTACTCGATAGCTTAGCCAGTTGGTAGCCCATGTTATAATGTTTAGCCAGCTGTGACGGTTGGCCAAATGACTGTACTGGGTTTATTTAATGGAGCAAAATCTGCTGCGAAATTTGAGAGTTGCCAGATTCTGAGAAAATCTGTCAAGGTTGTAAGCGGGGAAAAAGTGCCCACCACATGCAATGAGGGCAGGTGGACAAAAACAAGACAGTGCCTGTGATCTCTCTGAAAGCTTTTGATGGTGTAATTTCACTGCCTGGCTCAGGCCACTAATAGGGCCTGTCAGACACGCTGTTTACAAATGTACTGGATCAGACCAAGATTTATCGAAACACAATGTACACCATAAAAACCTTAATTAAAGGACCATGCAGGGGACTGTGTATGTTTTACAACAATAACTTAATCCACTAGTTGATCAACAGAAAATGTACCAGTGACTATTATTCTAATCAACAAAACTTTTACATTTTTCTAAAAAAGCACAAATACTTTCATCAGGTTTCAGCTTCACAAATTAGTCAAGCTTTTCTGCTTCCTCAGTAAACAGAATGTTATATGTCAATATTAAATGCTATTTGAAATGATGGTGGGCTATATTCACCATTTTCTGGCAATGAACAATTGACAGATTGACAGTTGCTGCAACTTAAACAATTATTTAGGTCTTTTTTTCCAATGCAAATGCTCTATTTATGAAATGATTTAGTACCTTTCAGCCAGCCAATTGACTCGGTTCATTCCAGGATGCATTGACTGTCAAGTCTGTACGCTCACAGATCGGTCCTGGCACCCATTGGGATCCGATCAGCCAGACCACATGCCGAGGTGGCCAGGTTCGCGTTGAGTTCGAGACAGATGTGGTCAGCATGTGGGCACAATATGGACAATTTATCAAACGTAGGGCTCCCATCATCTTCCCCTCACACGGGAGTTCCTCTCCCTAGGAGAACAAAGGGAAGAAAGGAGGATAACTGGTGCTGGAGCACAGCTGAGACCTGCTGTCTGAGTCCTGTTTAGTTACTGCTGATAAAACCCAACATTTCCTGATTCCTGATCAGGAAAATGTGTTCATCACCAAATTAGCGTAGCTTTGTTAGCAGCTATTCTTCAATAAAAAACAGGTTTATGAATACTGCAGGAAAGAAGATTAAGCAGCAAAAATAATGGGGGGTTTAAACTGTGAATAATTTATAGGAATTGGATTATGTCTATCTACTGTTTATGCGGACACCGATGAGTTCTGGCGCATTTGATCACAGGAGTCACATTGAAAAGACAAGTGTAGCCATGGCCTCAGTAGCTCCAAAAGATAGTGTTTACACACACTAGTGCTTACATGCACTATCTTTTGGATAAAGTCGCGGTACATAGAGCTGTCGGCATGAAGTAAAACATGTGGATGCGTTTGGCAGATACATCTCTCAGTTGTATATAACTTGCAGAATTACAGTTTGATCCTTGAGAGCAAGTGGGCCCACAGTCTCCACATACATAATTCATTCTCATATCAGTTGATATTGATTGACTGATCCATTCCCAGGTTTCCACGAGTGAGCGAGGAGGCTGCTGTCGGAACCCCGGTGGGAAACATCATGGCGGCCGCTGTCAATCAAACTATCATCTACTCCATCATCGAAGGCAACCAGGGAGGTGAGTGTACTTAGAGTAGTGCCCCGTGTGGGTCTCAGTCGTGGAGTTGGCTGGATTCACTTCTTGTGTGTGGCGCCAATAAAGTGGTTGGTTTCACTTATACAATTAAGTGGTGTACGTGTGAGGGTCATGCATGTGTTAGTAGACGTTTATGGATAGCATGAATGTTTTTCTAGCCATAACTTTGCAGCTTTAGCTTGTTTTTTTATCCGATTATGAAACCTGCAAAACACGAGGCACGCTGCCCTTTGACTTGGGTATTTTATTGTATTATTGTTGTTGGGCGAGCACAGAACCACCTGTCTTAGCTTCTGTATTGCTCCTCTAACAACAAAAGGGTAAAAAGGATGTTTGCTAACAGCTATTCAGTTGCTTAACGTTAAACCTAAGCGTAAAAAAAAGTAGTTGACGCTACAATTTGTTCAGATATGTCTTGCAGCTTTGCCTTGGTCGACGTTGAAGGTGAGCAAACGTTAGCTTAACAAAACACACTTGTTGTCGGTGCCGCCTCAGATTGCCCGACTCTCAATTCATTCGATTGGACAAGGGGGAAAAAACAAACAAAAAATGATATTGGGTACTTTTCTGATATGAGTTAAAGTTTTTTCAACTCGAGGTCTCAGGCGCTCCTGCAAAAACGCGAGGCACAGCGCTGTCTCTGCTCTGTCTGACCGGGGTCTTAAAGCAGCCTATAGGACTAAAATGTTTCAGGTAAATTTGCTTGTTCTTTGCTGAAGCTGCTTGTTTAATCACCTCCTTTTCACTCTGTAAAACGATACGCTATTAAAGAAAGTAAAAAAAAAATCCTCTGCCTCCCTTTTTGACCTTTCTCCTCTCTTCTGCTCTCTGTTTCTTTCATCCGACTCTTGCTGTCATTCTTTCTCTCTCTTGTCTCTCCAGGTGTGTTCGCCTTAAATGAAACAACAGGAGTGATTTCTACAGCCAAAGGCCTGGACTATGAGGCCAACTCCTCTTATGTTCTAAAGGTAGAAGCAGACTCCATGAGAGTCGGGTCCTCGAACGTCCGAGTTCCCTCTAAGAGTAAGTGCGTGGTTATGTTTATGAACTCCCCTCTAAGATTACAGGACTAACTTCTCACATAGGATTGCATCGCCGCAGATTTTACTGACTTTTTCCCTGTAATGATACACACACGTACGCTAAAGGATTAAAAAATAATAATGCGTTAACTACTACGTGACATTGTCACGATAAACTTGCCACAGGCTTTAGCCTCGTCTCTTGCACATTTCTCTCTCCCACTCCGTCACTCATGCTCTCATTCTCTCTGAAGCTCTCTCTACTTCTTGCTTGTACAAGTTTTCCTCAACTCTTCACCTTGTCTATACAGTTAAGTCTTGGAAGACATGTTATATTGGGCCTCTGCTGCTGTCGTTACCTTTCAGTGAGCCTTTTCCTCTCTCCCAGGTGTCTATTAAACCTGTAGGCTACAGCAGCTTGTTGTCTTCACTGTTGCTGTTTTAAAATGCTTGCCTTTCCTCCTTTTAAATGTGTGCCTCACAGGTCTTGCCGATATTCAATTATGTACCTGTTCAGAATTCATCTCTCGGATATCAAACATGTTTGCACTGTGATCAAAGTGAACAAATGAAGCTGGTGTGCCGTTTGGAAGATTGTGGATTGCATCTGTAAAGCCACAACTTTTCCCCAGATACTTGAACATTGGCACAGAATGACTCTGATTAGTCTCTTGCTCTTTTGCTCTTTGCCCTCGTTCTTATTTCCCGTCTCTTCTCTCTGACCTTTTCTGCTGGTATTCTTTTCTTTCTTATTTTCGAAGCATATTTGCATTCTTTTTAATTGATGCTCAGCTCCCCGGGTTTCCCCTTTTCTCTTTAATTATGTTGTTTACCACATGCTATTGTCATTTCATCCAACTATTTGAATTGAAGCACACTGCAGGGATTAAAACTACAAATCATTGTAGTCATTAGAAAATCTCTTTCAATTATTTTTAGCACGCGTTTTAATCAGGCAAAAATCAATACGATTCTAACAATGTGTTAATCAGGTTTTCTAATTCAAGTGAAGGCTGGAAACCTAAGTAGACATTTTGGTTGAGTGTCTCAATGGCTCTTCTAGATAAGCAGAGCAATGTTTGCATCTGCTTGTTTATCTACGTTTTTGTTTACGTGCTTAAGTTTTTTACGTGTTTTTTTTTCCTTTTCTTTCGTAGAGTAACACTTGAGCAGTTCACAATTCTGGGATGTGTTCTTTGCTTCAGACACATGATTCACCATTTTACAGAGTTTGGTTGATGTGTAGTATTGCAGTTTTACGTGGGTGTGATTCACAACTCCTTGTTTTTGGCCAGATAAGACTGTGAATCAAATTACAATAGTTTTTAACCTGTTTTTGGTCATTTAAATGCAGTTTGTGTGTGTATTTCAAAATACCTCTTACAGTTTAATTGATGCAAAACTTGATTTTGAATCTTGGCATTGACTTTTGACTTGGAATGTGATAATATTGTAATATTGTCACTGGTCATGACCAGTAAAGATTCTTGTAGCGTATATCTCAAAAATATGATCCAATGGTTCAGAGCGGGTCTTTCATCAGCTCTGGAAGTTAACAATGCTTCAGTCATTCCTCAAATATTCTTGCCTAAGGATGTTTTTTTTTTTAAACTTTCACTGTTGCTTATTAAGTTAATGGTGTGATAAATGCTTGATATCTGAAACCAGGTTTTCAGTGTTTACTCTTCCCCTGCATATCTTGATAGAAATGGGTTGTAACTTTGGCTGCAGATATTCTACTGGGAGAGGATGCTTAATTAATCCTTGTCAGACCAGTTTTACACTTGCCAAACTACACCAACTATAGACGAGGAAAGCAACAGCAGCACCAACATAAACATGTTGTGTAGACGCGTCTATTTCATCACCCACAAGCAGAGAAATGAAAAGCTGCCGCCATTGTAGTACTTGTGACATCTGCAGGCAAAACAGGAGCTGTGACTTGGCCTTCCTAAAGATGGCATGTCTGCATCTGCAGGTCGAAATGAGTGATGTGGCTTTTCTTGCCAATATGTGGCAGAGGTTCAGAACAGAAGGCCGAAAACTGGCAGTTGGTCGAAACATATTCTATCATACCTTAAAAAGAATGGACCACAAGTAATGATCTTTGCTTTCTCTTTGACACATTACCCAGGCTTGATGCATACTGAGTCCATATTTAGAGTGTAGTAAGCATGACGTCGAAGCAGAAAAGAAAATCCACTGCTTTTCAGGTTGCACAGAAAAGTTAATGTTTTCCAAACTACATATTTGCATTGCCGGCCATTTACAACAGTGCCTACCATTGAAGAAGGCCTTACCAGAAGCAATATGGACACCACAACAATATTTTTCTGTATTCATTTTTGTGCATAAATGTTTTGAAATTTGAATAATCGATACTGCTGGACAATTGCAAGTTACAAATCATATATATTTTTTAATTTCCTTTCCAAAAAAAGAAAATTCTGCTGTTGAGGCTTTCAGGAGGTTCCTAAGTGTCAATCAAGGGGTCACACACTGGTTGTGGGTGATTTACATCAATGACTGTGTTTGTCCTTGTCAATTCATCTCTTGCAATCTATTGTTTACTTTTTGTCCCAAATACTAAATGTGCTCTTCTTTTTGTAACGCCAAATTCAAAAATGTGTCACTATGTGTGTGTGTGTGTGTGTGTGTGTGTGTGTGTGTCCTAGCCAACACAGCTAAGGTGGTAATCGACATCCAGGATGAGAACGACCACCCGCCGGTTTTTACCCGATCTCTTTACATTGGAGGGGTCGCAGAAGACTCTAAAACGTTCACCTCCGTCTTGCAAATACAGGTACAGATATACAGACACATTCATATACAGCAGATAACGGGGTTGATGAAATATAGGAACTCGAAACAATTTAATGTAGTTAATGAAGCAAAGTCTGCGCAGCCCAACTTGAGTCACCGCTTCATTCACATGGCACGCTCCTCTCACTCCAACACATGTCTTTTAATCATTTTAAGCTGTCAGTGCTCTGCTCACTGCTGCCTGCCTGCTGCAACAGCGCTCACCTGAAAGCTATGCTGTTGCTTGCTGCGCCTGGGTCGTCACTACTGCTGTTCGCATAGTATTTCAAAAGCTCCACCATCCACCTGTGGGGTCGGTGTCCACACACTCCCTGCTCTGCTGAGCATGATGTTTCTTTGTTTGGGAGCGACAAAGTCAGAGCAATGCTGGCTTCTGTTTGTTGTATTGTTGCATGGATTGCTTTGTATTCCATGAAGTCCCTTTTACTTGTCCCCTCTTGTGTAACCAGGTCTGGCTTAAAATACGGAATGTGAAACTAAAAATATTATGACTTGGACACAAAAGTAGCCTTGACAGCTGCCACCCAAATTCAGTTTTGCCCAGTATGAAAGTGCATACAATGCTTGTGTAGATTTGTGTGCTTGTGTTTGTGTTGTTTAATTGAATGAAGATGATATTCAATCCAGCAAGTAACAGGATTAACAGGTAAAATGTTTCTCTGTCTCTCTTCCTCAAACATCTCCCTCTATCTCTCTCTGAATTGATACATCTCTTTCTTTCCCTTTCTTTCTTTTTTTTACCAAACTCCGGAGAATTTCATATCACTGTAAACAACTCAAGCGACTCTCGTATTATTAAAATGCCTTTTAGGACCCAAAATGGGTCACAGAGCTCTCAGCCTCTATCTGAGAAGTCGCAATATGTTTTAATGAGCCTGGATGCCACAAGAGACTCGGGCAGGGTCTCTGGCAGAAGAGTATGTGCTTTAATATTTTATTACAGTTTTTAAGATCATTCTTAGATATTCCTGCTGCATTAGATCATACACAGTGAGAGTGACAGGCAAGATGAGAGAATAAGGGAGAGCATGCAACAAAGACATATTCAAAATCACACTTTCACAAGCGTAGAAAATGTGCTTTTCTCTAAATCTGGTTTACCAGATTATTATTCCTCTGTTGCAAACAACCGAGGGTGGTCGTTTTGCATATGGATTTTTTCCATGTCAAGGCTGGAGCTGGTGTACAGTAACCTGCTCTACAGGCTACTCCGTAAATACTTTAACAGACTGACGGGAAAAACGAATAGACTGCTAGTAGTCTCGATCACCACAGGCAGAGTCAATAGATCTGGAGATTGGAAGGAAGAGAGAGGATTGATGGTTAGATAAAGATGACTGGCATCCCGCTGCGAGACAAACTGGCCGGAGAGAAGAAAGCAGGGAAGACATGCATGATTCATGGGTGGATGAATAGATGGAGTGGGGGGGGGGGGGGGGGGGGGGGGGGAGGGGGGGGCGTAAGCGTAAAGATGGACATGGATGCTTGCGGCACATTTGCTAACATTCAGATGAAAGAGTGAGTGAGAGAAAAGGTGGAAAGAAAGTTTGAGAAATGAAGCTATTTTAATCTCAGTTGTTTTACTCAAGTATAGCTAATTCCATCACATCTGTCTGAAGCATGTATTGTCTTAATGAGTTTTGCGTGCAGTGTGTATACCAGGATTGATTGTTATCTGTGTGTCTTGCTTCGTGCAGGGCTGTCATGCCTTCAGAGTGTACGTGCAGGAGTTTAGTCTTTTTGTCCGTCAGAGGAAGCCAGAACACAACTATTGATCAGACTGCAGATGAGTCTCACATTGGCAAACCTACCCGGGGGTACCTCCAAAGATACTTCTGTTCTTCAAACCAATTCTTAACATTGTGTCTACCCAATACGTTTGTCACTTCTCCCACCACAACCAATGCATGAGAAGAATTTAACCTTCTTTCTTTCTTTCTCCAGCACTTTCCCCTGCCCTTACAATTACTGTTTCAAGCTTTCCTTTTAGTGGCTGTTCATACCAAAAATAATTCAAACAGCTGCATTGATGTAGGTGTGTTTCTTGAGGTACTTGCAAGACAATATAATACAATCCAGGAAGCCCAGTTTAAATAATGCATTAATGAGTTTGAAGACTAACCAAATGACAAAACGCCACACAGCAGTAGAAATTATTCTCAATCATGGCGATCCCAAGTGAGCAGTAGGACTGTGACAATCAAGTCACAAAATAACTGGTGTTTTTACAGTTTTTATATTATATTCCTATTTGTTATTTATATTGATTGTGGTGAAGCCAGAGACATTGGGACTCATGCAGCAACATCCTATTAAATTTCTCTTATCTTAAATTGGAGGCGTGTGGCCGATTGTTTATTATTAGCATAACGCCCCCTAAACTCTATTTAACGGCAGGTGTTGTGCCCGGTGCGAATACTCTGCCACATGCCTAAGAATTGGAGAGACGCCAGCAAAAAAAGGCTGTAAAAAGAAGAAGAAGAAGAAGAACTTCAGCAGTAATGAAATTTAGATGCTGCCAAATAAATGTAAGCAGAGTCTGTGACAGCTAACTGGTGTTACTGGAAAATCAAAGGCATGAATGTCCAAAGCATTGAAGAGGAGTATGTTAGCCATTCAGGAGGCATTTATTATCATCCAAGGGTTTTATAATCTTTATTGGGATCAGTGGACCAAAAGTATTTATTTAGCCCACAAATGTAATAATAGAATAAATACAATTACTCTAAAACATATAATAATCTAGATTTGATTGTTTGATATTCATGCATGTTCTATGTACCCTCACATTTAAAACGTACGTTTCCTTCTGTTGGACAAACAGTTCATGGACTGTAAGTATGAGATGTTTGTTCTTCTCTTGGTATGAGTGCTTTCGACCACTCGTAAGACGTCCTCTTAGCTAAGAGAAGAGAAAAAAACAAGAAAACATTGGTGAATCACAGAAATCGTGGGTACTAATACAACAACATTTTGTGGATATGAACAAACATAATAAGAAATGTGTTCTTATATCACTTCCTGCATGAGGCCCAATGTACCACATCATGGACGATATCGTTTTTCACTCAAGGTTGTTGTTGGTCATCTTGTAAAAATGCTTTAAATGAGGCATTAGACCAGATGGGAATGGTTTTAAAAGCACTGACTTGTTTACAGTTCTTGCTAAATTTGTGAAAGTCAATGTATCTATTTTTGAAGGTTCTGTCTTTTAACTCGCATCATGGGGAGGAATTTGACTACTTAGTTGTACACAACATGTATTATAGAGCAAAGGCAATCAACTTTAGAATTACAATTAGAGTGCTTTCAAGCAGTTCAGTACTCATTTTGTAGCTGTTTCAAAACCATCCAGAATTATTAATTGTGTCACTTCTCCAGTTTCGCCTGGTTAGTATTTGTATGCTTGTGGATTTTAAACACAGCTCTTTCTAAGTGCAATAGAAAGTAATCAGGTCTGACTCTTTGCAGTTTATATCACTGAAGGTATTGATATATTGCTGGAAAGTTATCTTAACTGTGCCACTCACCTCTGCAAGTAACATAAAAATAGATCTGTACATGTATTCTTTTGTCAGTCCTCCCTTATTCCCTCATGTTTCTATATGTATGCCTCCATATCCTTTATATTTTCTATTCTTTCCTGCTTCCATTTTCTTATTCCCTGGCCATAAGAACAATATTTCTTTGTTTCTTGCTATCATAGCAATACCTTTGATGTGGTGGGTGTATCTGTGCTGATTCTGTAGTCTATACTCCCTGCCCTTCTTGTAGAGACCAGGCAATAAATCAATGTCTGTCTGAGTGTGTCTGTGTCTGGACGTGAATGTGAGGTTTGCGTGTGCGTGTGTGTGTGTGTGTGTGTGTGTGTGTGTGTGTGTGTGTGTGTGTGTGTGTGTGTGTGTGTGTGTGTGTGTGTGTGTGTGTGTGTGTGTGTGTGTGTGTGTGTGTGAGGGCGAGACTTGATAGTTAGCCAAAATGACAGAACAGATGAATAGACCTGCTCAAAGCACCACTTTACCCCCTGCTGCTGATTCAGAGTACTACATCAAACAACACAACCAAACAGCAGGATTCCCCAGCAGAAAAAAAAAATCTAGAGAAAAACGACAGTAATATATGGCCTTTGGTGAGCGACAAATACAAGAGACAGGATATCAGTCCTGAACTAATCAATATACATGGAGGCGCTGCATCATGATCAGCTGCTCAGACACCTGGAATGAAACGATAAGGAGGCAGAGGACTCGCTATCATGATGATAATCATCTCAGAACATAGAATAGATTATTATGATAATGGCAACGACGGCTTGATCACAGTGTTTTTGTCAATAATGATGACATTTCATGATAATGGTGATTATATTGTGGTGGTGTAATAATGATGATTGGAATAATGACTGTGTAGTGATTCTTATTTACCTCATGTTACAGGCCCTGGACAAAGACACCGGTAACTACAGTGCTATGATGTACCGGCTGATCATTCCCCCTCCCCCTGGTAAAGACACTAAAGTTAGCAAAAACGGCTTTATCATCGAACCATACAGCGGCGTGGTGAAGACGGCGATCATGTACCGCAACATGAGGCGGTTTTATTTTAAGTTTGAGGTGGTTGCTACAGACAACTATGGCCAAGGACACAGCAGCAAGGCGGAGATAGTGGTGTGTATATTTGTATTTTTGACATCGGTGGCAGGTTTATATTCATTTCTTTTATCTTAAATTCTTTACGCCCCTTAACACAAATTGAATGACATGATTGAACTTAATTGCAATGTGATTTATGTGACTCCCAGAATGCCCTTGAAGCAGATAAAAACATGACAACAAATTCAAGTAGACACACGCTAGTGGCGTACTTGGATTAGAAATGTTATCTTTTTCAATTCAAACTTGTATTTCACTGGTGGAGGTTCCATCTGATAAGGTCTACTGAAATGATTTAGAGCTGAGCATGCTTTTTTCTGCTCAGTTTAAAAGCAGAACTTAGTTGTTTTTTTTTGCCTGTTGTATAGGTGTCGGTGGTGAACCAGCTGGACATGCAGGTGGTCGTATCAAATGTCCCTCCGACTTATGTGGAGAAAAACAAAGACCAGCTCCTCAGGTAACTTACATAAAACTTAATGTTGTTGTTGTTTTTTTCTATGATATACTAATAATGTATCTATAGCATTAGGCTGGCTGTACTTTATGTGCCCTAAATGACAAGAATCAAACGTGTATATATATATATCATCATAAATATCAGAAGAAATCAGAATCAGCCTCGAAAATCTAACGTTTATTAGGATACATTTCCAAAATGGGGACTTTTGTAATGTTCCACCTGTTGGCTCCATTGTAGTCCTCCCCCACCATCTGTTTGTTGAAGCCCACAGACACGCTTCCAACTTATTTGTGCGGTCACTCTCGGCACTTCTATTTGAAAATCTCTGAATTTTACAGAAAGGTTCTAGCCCAAATACATTTTTTTTTTTTAAAAGGCAAAGGAGCGATGCTAGTCTATCATACAACGGCTGTTGGAGAGGTCATATTGTGTCAAGATATTACTTACAGGGCCTGGCAATGCTTTTCTGCCTGAGAAAAACGCTACATGGACACGCCCAAACCTGATAATGATGTTTCATAGTACTTACCCTCTTTTCTCTCTACGTCACTTTCTTTCTCAGTCGCTCTCTCACACACACATGCACACACAACTTAGTTGGATAGTTCCTGCTGTGAGCACTGAGCAGGAGTTTCTGTGAGGACAAAAATCAATATTTCACAGCCTAGCCGAGAGGATGAAAACAAAATGTGTTTGTCCAAAGAGATTTTGTCAGCCATGTCGGCATCGTTAAAGTAGCGTGAACCCATCAATCAAAACCCATTATTTTTTGAATCATCAGCATTTTGGAACGCTACGTCCAGGAGCAGATTCCAGGAGCAAAGGTCGTCGTCGAAACCATCGGGCCCCATCGCCGTGCCAATGGAATGGAGCAGGAAGACTACACCAAGTCGGACCTCATGATTTATGCCATCGACCCGCTGACGAATAGGGCCGTTTCTAGACAGGAGCTCTACAAGTAAGAACTTTGCCAACAGATCTATGAAAAGTAAAATGACAGCTCTCCAAAATGTGTATAACATGAACGGACCTTACCTGTTCAGTTACATCACTGCGGTTCTCACCTCAAGGTTTCTCGATGGGAAACTCTTGGACATCAATAAAGAGTTCCAGCCCTTCCTCCCTCCCGGTGGACGGATTCTGGAGATCCGAACCCCTGAAGTGGTGACCAGTGTGAAGAAAGCTGTGCAGACTGTAGGCTACACGGAGGGGGCGCTGTTGGCTCTGGCAGTTATTATCATTATCTGCTGTGTCCCCGCCATACTGATTGTCATCATCACCTACAGACAGTAAGTATGAATTATGTGTAGTTTTTTTTTTTTTGACTAAATATGGCACTTTAATCAGGGACAATATAGACTAAATTATGCTGTAGGAGCTTATTGTGCCTTTGATTGGCTTGTGTTGCCGATGTTTTATAGATTCTGTTTAGCAACAACTCCCATAAAAAGACCAAAACCAACAATTAAGGAATCCTACAACTCAGACCACGACTAGCTTAATTTCCTTGTTAATTCATCGTAAAACGCACTTCATTCAAATATAACGGAGACAAAGCAAACTCGCTAAAACTGTCTCGGCTTGTCATTCCACATTTCCAACAATCACCAACACTGGTTTGGTTCAAATGAAACCTTAATTCATGTAAAAATATGATGACTATTCTTTTTTTCCAGCTGTCTCTCTCTCTCTCTCTGCACGCCGAGATGCAGACGAGCGGCTCTTGTTCCTTTGTTATTCCCTTGCCGCCCGTAAAGAGCAGTGAAGAGTCATAGAGTCATAAATGAGCTCAAAAAGTATTTGGCTGATGAGTGCAGTAGTATTCAAGATTAGCAGTGGAAAGACTGGCGGAGATAATTATTGCTTGTGTCCTAAGCCTGATAAAGCTTATTCCTATGTGTCATAGAACTCCATTGTTGTCCAAAACAATTAAAAACGCTAATATAGCCACACTTTTGCACTGATGAATGAACATGAGCACTGTATACACTGTCCTGATAAATAGTCACTAGTTCACCAATTGATGCATTGATCTGCAGCTGAAAATACTGCCCAACTGTTAAGTACAAATTTAGGTCCTCAAAACAGTTTAGTCTTAAAAAAAAAAAAAAAAAAAAAAAAAGGAAGATTTTACTTTAAATTGGAAAAAAATTAAAAATTTAAAGGATGTTCCCACAGAACATCCTTTAGCACTGTTTATCATTTTATCATCTGGGCGAGTCACTTCTCTAGGTTATTCAGAATGGCAGCCTGTCCCACAGTGCCAATTCCAATAGTTTGTTTAGCTAACCACCGTGAAAGGCTATTAATTTCATCCGTCTCCCAAAGACACATAAACAAGCGCACACACACATAAACTGGATCAGTGCATTCTGGAGAGCGCTTCTCATCCTGCTGAGAAAAAGAGACAAATAACAGACCGAGGATAGAGGAGAGGAGATGTGAATGAAGAAAAACAGAGTAGTAATCATCAGCATAATAATCACTAGTCTCTGTTGCTAAATGACGGTAATGAAGACCAATTGTCCAAATGGGTTGTAAATTTCAATGAATAAACCCGGCTAACAAGAGGCACTGTGTGATTTATGGTTCTAACAGTCACTAATCTTTCTCTCTTTCTCTTTCTGACGCCTGCTGCATCTATCCCTACCAGATTCAAGGAGTGAGTACCGCTTCCATATTCTCATGCTTAAATATTAATGTCATGGCTGTCTTAAAGACCTCTCATTGTGATTAATGTGTTGACTTTCAATGTATAACAAAAAGGATGAGCTCGGTAAGGGCGGTGAAACAGAAAGGACAGCAGACAGTCAAATAAATGAATCCTGAAGAACATGGAATCAGTAAATGTCCGAGACAGACACTTTCATTAGAATATGGAGTGTGTGTGTGTGTGTGCGTGCATACGTGCGTGCGTGGTCATGAGTCCAGGTCACGTTTATGTTGACTGGACAAGAATACCAATGGCAGTTGGTTACGCATATCAGAGAGTAACAGCTTGATGATTTATGACATATGTGAGTAGAACATGAAGTTGAACCACCGTACCAGGAAATACTGTTTCCAGCCTGTTGTTCCATTCCACAAGCTCTGTCATGTCCTTTATAAAGATAATGAAAGCAACTAATGCAAAAGAATCTTTGAGAATGAAGGGAAATTCATTGTGCCATTATCTTGTAATTTACACTTTTTTGCCACAATTGACAGTGTTCAGCATATGTGTTACAAAGTCTGTCATGTAGAGAGGCACATTCAAAGTTTGACCATCATTCATCATTTTATATTTACAGCATTTCAAGTTTTAAGGGACACAAATATTCAGGATCTCACTGACTAAGAGCCTACAGCCATGCTAGTGAGACTGTAATAAATGTTACTGCTAGATACGTGCTCACAATTACAATGCTAACATTCAATGGCAGAATATCCTGCAGGAAAAGTTGCTAATCTAGCATCGGCAACAACTACCTACAATGCAAAGGAACCCAAAAAAGGAAGACAGACTTATAATAAAGAGAGTTTGACAAGATCACAGAAGCATTTTAGAGATGGAGAGAATTGTATCTAATAGTTTAGCCTTCTACTCACAGCTGCGGCTAGCGCTTTGAGCTAGCTGTCAGGCTACGGTAGCTCCAGCAGTGGCTCTCGGCAAGCATCATTATCTCTCCATCTCTAATGCAGCCTTGACATCTACATTTAGCACAAGGCTAAACTATTAGCAACATTTTTTCCAAATCAATATTGTGGCTTGCTAGAGCCTCGAATCACGGTTATGTAATGTCATCTCAAAGGGCTTTACAGGCTCACAAGGTAATTCTCATAGAATTGCTGCTATATAACGGCATCAGGATCACAACCCCTATCGTGATGATGTTTGAAATGAATAACTAGTCGCACAGGTAACTGTATGAAACACGTGTTTATGCTTTGGCTCATCTGGTGGGAGAGGCCTACGACAGACAGTATGCTGAAAGAAGATTATTGATTTTTTTTGCCCAATAATGCCAAAAATAAACTGCAATTCATCAGACATTTCACTGAAAACCAAAAATGTCAACCTCCGTGTGGTGAAAGTGAAAATGTCAGGAGATCAATAACGTCAGTTACCTCCATCCTCTGGGAAGCATCAATGTCTGTCCAGAATTTCATTGAAATTCATCCTGTAGTTAGGATACTTTGGCTGGACCAAAACAATGGACACACAGACAGAAAAGCATGGCTAGAAACCACCCACACACACAGACTATACTCTGCTGGAAACGTTTCTTAAGAACACAGATAGAGATGGATGTACCAAAGATATGAGCTCCCCTTCACAGATGTTGAACATTTGAACGTACTTACTAAGGTCATGAGTTTTCTCTAACTTTTGATAACTAACTCTGAGTTTCCTCTCTGCTGTGTCCAGACGCCAAGCAGAGTGTGCCAAAACAGCCCGTATCCAGATGGCACTGCCAACAGGCAAACCTGCAGGAGGAACTGCCAACAACTTGTATGAAGAGCTGGGTGACAATGCCATGTAAGTGAAGTGTGAAAGTGGTATATTCATGAGCCAAAGCAGAGGCATTAGCTCACATGTCTATGGCTATTAAACCACACATGCAGTCAGTCCCATAACATTACATCTCCTTACATTTGAACTATCACCATGAAAAATGCTGTATATATACTTGTATCTTTGATTCCCTGCGGACCAAAACCATTATTCACATTTGCCAATGTAGTCTCTTTCGTGCATGAAGAATATAGTCCAGTTGTGTTTCAGTTTTAAAGCATGGAGCAATTTGGGATAGCATAAACTCTTCAATCTGAAGTGAAATTAAGTTGATTGTGGTCATAAAATGTCACAGATATTGTAGTTGGGACAAGACCAGTGACCACAATCACAACCAAAAGAAGGCTCTCTACACTCTAACTGCTGTTCGAATACCATTTACTTGATTAAAAAGACATTTGATATCTATAATAGGACACCTGTGCTATGTCGTGTAAGACACTTGGGAAATGCAATTCAACATTTTGGTAGTTGCCTACATCCAAATACAAACATTTCCACTAATGAATACTGAAAGCAATCAGGAAATGAATACCAGCAGCATAAATCAATATCACAAATATAAATGAAAGGAAGGAAATAATGGCCTAACGTCAGGAAAACTGGCATAAAATGCACCTTCCACCGTCAAACCCAACAATGAACTCCATCTATGGCGTCAAGCTCATACTAAAATCCTCCTAACTTGAGAACACAACAGTGCAGAAAAAAGAAAGTGATTCAAACATGAAGATGTATCAGCAAGTGTATCAGACATGTTTTTCACTTGCACATCTCACACAACAGATAAGCTCTCATTTTATTGTATGCAGATGTCTGCACCTGCTCTGAATATTCAGCTCTGTCTCACAGGCGTAACCATGACTTGAAGCGTTTATTTAGGTTCAATAGGTTTGTGCCCAATAAATAGGCACAGAATAACTGTGTCCCTGGCCGCAGAGCAGCGGCGACACAGTCAGCTGTGTGTGTAGTAACTGTGTACTGTGTTATAGCCAAACAATAAAAAGGAGGAAACTGTTGACATACGTATAGTCGATGGTGTCCCCCCACTGTGTCTCTGGCCGCAGTGTAGGCTCACTCACGGACGTAAGCACATACAATTGATTTAATTTCATGTAAAAATGTGAAACCTTGCAGGTAAACAAAACTGCTTTAAAGGAACAATAATAATAACATGGAAAATAGCTGTCGGAGAATGTGTCACAAACGGCCAATTAGCCCTCATTCTGTGCTTGTGCACACTGACAAATACCTTGAATTTATATTTTTAAAGTATCTGAAAATAAATAGTTATATTACAGCAATGAGATCTGTTTACTAGTGTTTTTATACAGTTTGCAAATAAACAATGTTTCGGTGGATTATTGGAAACAAAACATAATTTTCTTCTGCTGTCCATGGTGCTGAAAGGTGCGCTGGGTAGGTGTGCTAAGCGCTAAATGACCCTTGTGAACCCCACATCAATCTAGAACCAAACAAAGCTCAGATTTTTAAATGCACTAACAGTCGCAGATAAACCCTGCAATTGTATCTTCACAAAGTTCAGTGGCATGCAGCTCTATCCTTGTCAGTTTCCTTGTTGTAATGCATACCAATATCCTCACTATACAACAGATAAAGTGAAGGTCAACAATCTGCCCACAGAGCAACGTTTATTTTGAGTGCAGCCTCTCAAGTTCACTTCAAGATTTTCATCGATTCGAGGCTTTCAATACCACCGTAAAACTCCAAATGTATGAATTTAATTTCATTATCAGCCTTCACAGCAGATTGCAATCTCAGTTTATGAATGTTTGCTTTGGAAGCAATGTGAGGTTGTTTTAAAATATATATATATATTTAAAATAATTTTAAATTAAAAAAAAAAAAAAATTCCAATCATGAAGCAGTGAATCATGGTCAGGAAGTAGAGGCAATATAAATAACCTTTTTGATGATTATGTAAAATTACTTCTCTGTATATTAATGCTGTCCTATGTCTCAACTCCTTAATTAATTTGCTGACTCTACTCTATACTGCCTCAAAAAGTTGCTATTCTCTATATACTGCTATATTCTCATCACCACTTACTGTTGCTCCCCCGTTTCTGTGTATCTGCTCCCAAATTTAGTTTAATTTATACTACAATTTGTGCTGGTTTGACATGTCAGTTTGGTTAAACAACAGTCTAATAGTGACGGAGAGACCCCGTATAAACTTTTATCTGAAAGTCAACAACAACCACACACATACACACACACACTCACTCAAGGCTATACACAGATAGTTATTTATAATTCCTTACTGGAGCGTTACGAAGAAGTTGAGAGGAACTCTTATCAGCATTACATGCATCACCGGTTTCCTGTGTGTCCTTGATATGCGTCCCTACTCCTATTAACATGAGAGCAATTCATTTGCAAGATGGAAGAACTATCTTCAAATGAGAACAAGGGGTGTGTGTGTGTGTGTGTGTGGCAGCCAAAATTATCCGATGTTAAAATGTGTGCGGAAATTAACTTGGATATGAGATAATTGAAATAAATGCAGCCCGTAATTTATAAAGACCACCCTGGGCGATAATTAATTCTATTGATAAGCTGCAGAGCATGTTTAATTGTGGTTGGGAAGGTCTCTTGTGTGTGCGCGTGTGTGTGTTTTGTATCACTGCAGTGTTGTGGAGACTACATTTTCCCGAAAGAGTATAAAACCTGGAATAGTACAAAAGTTTGCACATTCATAATTCAGGTCCATTATCAAACTGCTCAGTTAGACGGATTTCGAGGCATTATTTTTTTTTTATTACGTTTGGCTGTTCTCTTGACAGGTTTGGGTTTTAATGTCTGTTTTCAATTACCTGTGAGAAATGAAGTGTTCTTTACTGTATTATTGGCAGCACATTTAATGAAGCACGTTTTTAAAAGTTCAATTGAAAGTCATGTAATTTAGCAACACACCACATATAGTTGTCATCACTTGTGCTATGTAGCAATTACACTCATCTAGCAATAACTAGATGTGTATAATATTCCTATTAACTTACTGACTTGTTCACTGGAATATTTACGGTTGGCAGCTGTGTGGTTTGTTGTAGTTTTTTCTACATAATTATCACGGTTAATGACTCGCATTCAATTTAGAATGGAGGAAAATAACACCTTCTAGTGCACGAAATATAATAAAATAAATATGAAAATTATATTGGAAGATTGTAATCAATCAATTTTTAGATTACTTGATAATATTAAAAGTTTATATTTCAAAACTTTTACTTTGAAAAGGGAATAAGAGAAGGGCAAATAGCTAACGTGTCATAAATTAATTAAACATTTAAAAAAAAGATGTGATGTGATGAACACCTTAAACAAGAGAAAAACATAATTTAATTCTTTATTTTATAAAATGCTTTAACTTCTTCACTCTGCAATCTCTTAATATCTAATGGGTTTTTCAAAATAAATGCATTTGTTGAAAAATAAGAATTGCTCCGTATATAACTGATCAACAGATACACTCTCTGTGAGACATTTCATCACTCTACTTTGCTTGTTCTCATGTTGACTGATCTGTTCATTTTCTCTTGCTCTGATCCATCCATAATTTACCCATGACTGACAGACAAAAGTGAGTAGGATGCTGAAAATGGCTTCACATCTGTGACTAGTTTGATACTGTGTTGACAGTGTTCTTGCCTTAGTTTTGTGTTTGTGTCCCGTCCTCGTCAGTGCTTACTCTTGTTTTACAGGGTAAGTTGTACCGTGGTAGATCAGAGAGCAACGTTGTGTAGCTGATGATTGATTGTGCCTGATCGATGATGTTTTGGAACTCTGGTTATGTTGCATTGGTGGACTTGACATGGACGTAGCCAGCCGTGTGCCAGGAAGTGCCAAGAGTCTGCAGAGTTTTAACAAAGTCATAAACTATACCAGAGATTTAAAAGATCAGTGCACCTTCAACCAGAGAGGAGGATATAATCACTCTTTTGTTGGAAGGAAATCTGCAGACACAGTTGTCTGTCCCTGCCCCAACAAATCTGGCATTGTCTATAGTCGTGATGCAGTAGCGTCTTTGTAGCACACTACTTTTAGCATACATAAAATATATTTGCATTCCTTCCCTTTGTGTTTTAAGACTATTTTTTAGCGCTCCATCTCTTGTCCCTCTGGTAGAAACAGCCCTGACAGAAAATGCCGTTACCTCTTGCAAGATCCCTTTTCCATTTCCTCTCATCCCTGTCCTCATTTATCTCTTAATGTGAAGTCTCCTTTCATTTCATTTATCAAAAGGCTCTAGCAGAAGTTTTATTGTTTTAGCTGCCTTTCCTAGCATCCTTTATGTATCCTTCTGTTGTCTCTCCTGTTTATAAAACATTTTATTTAACCTCTCTGTGCATTACTGCTCTTAATTTGAATTCCATTCAGTCCCTATCTCCCTCTTCCTAATATAGCTTTGATTGCACCTTTCCAATTCGATATACCCTCCTCTTTTGTTATCCCTCTCTTCATTCTGTCTTTTTTTTTCTCAAATTTTCTTCCATGCATGCACCAGCCGGTTAAACCATAGTGGTGGTGGGAGTGGTGGCAGTTTGGATGAAAGCGACCGCACACGTCTGATCTCGGACTTTGCCACACGAGCGATCGCTGCCCATCGTCAGTGCATTGCTAACGGGGGTGTACTTAATAACCTGCCAAAGTCTGAGTCCAACATAACCTTTCTTTCTGATGAAAAGCCCTTGACTATCAAAAATCCCATCTACCATGAGGACGGGACTTTGAGTAGCCCAGCAACTCTTGGGAGAAGCCAGAGGAGAAGAGACCTTCTTGGGAATTTTTCCCCTTGCAGGAAAGGCCTTCGAGAGGCCTGGCTAAGGCTCAGCTCCCCTGGAGGAGATGTGGGATTCGGTGCGTACAGTGCCAATGACTGTGGATGGGGATCTGGAGGTGGACACAGCTGGACTCTCCCATCAAGGTTACATCGTAGAGAC